ACATCTGTTGTTTGGTTTCTTGACGATAACTTCTTTTTTTTCTAGCGGGTATCAAACTCAAGAATAACTTTTACAAACTGGTAGTGACACCTAGTGGTCATCGATTATATTAAATACCTTGTTTTAGGTACAGACATGTTTAATTTTAGCTTGGTAATTCCGGAGAACGAGTAGGGTCTCGAAAAAGTTGATGTCTGTCTATATCATATGCTATAAACAGATACCCCACAATCTGCAAATAGGTTAAATAAATTCTATTTTATAGACCCTAGGTAATTAAAATTAACAGAACTGAACTTGGTGAAAGTTATGAATTCTTAAATTTCATTAACACTTCCGCTAACCACGGAGATCTTCGTTTTTCTTATCTTGCTCCAGCTGGCTAAGTACGGAAACCTACGTCTTTTTTGCATACCCCCATCTATCGTCAAATCACAAAGGACAATGCTTCAAAAGATATCATGTGTATACCCATTACTGATCTGGTAAGTCATTCCCAGGTATATCCATGAAAATGGAAGGCTGTAAAACACACTGGTGCCAGTTTTCTGTGTAATAAAATATGGAGGTTGAAATTTGGCATTTTCTTTAAAAATGGCTGGCTGGATGAGGGCAGCACTGGGCAAATGAGTAGCAGTGAAAGTGTTAATCAAAGTTGTAATCTTTGCTAATTTCCGATTGAATCATATATCCGGTTTTGTTTTACTCATTTCACACTTAGTAAGAAGAAAGGACAATAAAAGAAAACGTTACAGGAAGACAAGATGGCGACTGACGTTGCATTTAACTGTTTGAAGATTATAAGGAGCAGGGAAGCAAGAAATTGAGAGTAATTTCTACAGTGCGAAAAAGAAACGATTAGAATAGAACATATGGTTGGATCTATTGTTATATAGAAATAAAGTGTCGCTGCCGACACTGGAGTTTGAACACAGATCACCAGAGAGCAAACACAGGCGATCCCATTTTGAATAAGTAGATCACGTGATCTAAAAGGAAATGTATATATGGGAATTAGCGTGGCATATAAAGGATCTCTCTTTCTATGCTATCCTCTATTATTATACGCATCGCTATTCTCTATACTATTCATTATACTATTTCTCTATACGGATTACTATTCGGCGTTTAATTTTCGATCGAGTATTATCGAGCTAGTAATATTAGTGCGAGTGTTATTCGAAGGCGTCTGACACCAGTATTGTTCAACGGCGTTACTATAGTTGTATCTGCGATTACAAAGTCTCTACTACAACGGTCATTACGAAAGTGACAACGAGTATTCGTTGACATTACAAAAGTGGCAACGAGTGTTAGTTGACATCACAAAAACTATCTAGTGAAATAGAAAAACCGTGAGTCCTAGTTGCCAATCTAGAAGCAGACTTAAATTCCTGAAGTCGAGGCACTACCGAAGATAGCACACCAGAACAATTGCTGTGAAAATATTTGTAGAAAAAAAAACAGATTCAACTTGAAAAAAGAGAAAATGAATGGAACATCATTTGCCTTCAGTTCGAGGAACTGGCATAACTAAGATAACGCCTTAATTAAAAATAGTTACCAAAAACTCAACCCTGAATTGATCAGATGTTTTTAAAATAAGAAAGACTTGATTTGTTGAAAAACAGATAATTTGAAATAAGGAATACCTGTCTGTTGCCCGACCACACATTCAATCTTCATTCAAAGATTAAATAAAGAAACGACTTTCAATCACAAAATTGAAAATGATTGTAATATTTGCACTTAACCAACAGACAAGATTATTAAGTTGGTTTGTAGGTTGGTTGATTTAGGTAACCAGTATATCAACCTCTATGGGTTATTTAATACTGAAATGTAAATGTTTTTAGCACAATTTTATAGCTTCAACTACAGATAAAATGTATTGTTCGTCCTTTTCAATAAACACAAGAGACAGAAAAAAATGAAAAACAGTGTTTTATATATATATATATATATATATATATATATATATTGGTTTCCCTTTCGGTAAGGTGTGAATCCTCTTCTTCTCCCTCCAGCTATTCGGTAAAAATAGCAGGACAGACTTGGTTCTATAGCCTTAGATGGCAACTGGTCTAGGAGAAGGACAACTCTGAATTCAAAATCTGCGGAGGGTCGTTTGGGGACCTTGTGGCCGATTCCGCACCAGGTTTCTGTATTCGGCCCTTCAAAAAGTGTGGATGGTCCTGCACGAAACCTTCACCACTATAATCGAATCTCAGGCTGTTTCCTGGAAAAAAATCTGCTTGACCCTCATACGTCGAACCCGATTTTATATATATATATATATATATATATATATATATATATATATATATATATATATATATATATATATATATATATATATATATTCAAAGGGGACAAAAATATTTGTACACATACAAATTTTTTAATTTGTTGTATTTCCAACTAATGAATAAACGTACTTTTCATATAATTAACTGTACACAGATGCATAATAACTAAATATGCATAGAAAACAGAAAAAATGATTTAATAGAAATAAATCTCATTTATCTATATTAATGAATGAAAAGTGTATTCGTACAATGCAAATTTAAGATTTTAAAAATTCTAAATTGTTTTAATACTCGATATTATTCAAGTGGAATATTCTAGAATGTTCCAATAATGTTATTAGTAGTTATTTTTAGCCTAAAAATACAAACAGAACATTCTGTAATTGATATTCGTGCAAAAAGGTTATTATCATGGCAAGAGATGAAGAACTGACAAATTCGCAAGAAGAACTGATTGTTAAGCTCTGAAAAGAAGGTCAAAGTTAAAGGAAAATCTCAGTCAACCCGAATATTCCATTTACAAACATTAGTTCATTCATTGCAAGGTATAAAAAAACTCAAACTGTTGAAAACCAAAGGACAGGTGCTCCACAGAAAGTTTCTGCAAGATCTTCGAGGAAATTAAACAAAATCCAATGGTTACTCATCAAGAGTTGCAGGATAATCTGCTTTCATCTGGAATTTGTATCATTAAACGGACAATAAGCAATGAAATTCATAAGAACACTTTAAAGTCACGCTCCCCTCGGAAAATTCTACAGCTATTGAAAAGGCACAGAGATGCGAGGTTGAAATTTGTTCGTGAACATAAGGATAATGAAAAATCGTGTTGGGAAAGAGTATTATGGACAGAGGAAACCAAAATTGAGTTTTTTTACCGTAATTCTAGAAATCATGTATGGGGGAAAGATGGCGATGCCTTCAAACAGAAGAGCATAATTCCAACAGTCAAATTTGGTGACAGCAGCATCATGGTTTGGAGATGTTTTCTGTAAAAGGTACTGGAAACATTTCAGTAATAGCTAGTAGAATGAATGCCGCAGTATATCAAAATATTTTGGAAGCAAATTTAATGATTTCAGTTGAAAATCTTGAACTTCCTCCTGATTGGATCTTCGAAAAAGATAATGATTCTAAGCACACTGCAAAATCTACGAAGAAATGGCTTGCTAAAAATAATGCCATTATCCTGAAATGGCCAAGTGAGTCCACAGATTTAAACCCAATCGAAAATCTTTGGCGCTATTTGAAAATTCAAATCCAGTCGAGAGATCCAACAAACATCCCGGATCTGAAAACCAAATGCGAAGAATAATGGAACAAAATACCAACTAAAATTTGCAAATCGTTGAGAACTACAAGAAGAGGTTGGTTGCTGCAGAAGGGAAAAATGGCTACTCTTTAAAAAGTATTAAATAAAGATTATATATTCTTTTTTGTATTATATGAATACGTTTTTCACCCATTAAAATGGATAAATGGGATTTATTTCTATTAAATCAAATGTTTTCTGTTTTCTATGCATATTTAAGTATCATGCATTTGTATACAGTTAATTATTTGAAAATTATGTTTATTCATTATTTGGAAATACAACAAATTAAAAATTTGAATGTGCACGAATATTTGTTTCCTTTCTCCCGCTGTATATCAAACAAATGGTGATAAATGATTTTTAAAATGGGAAAGAAATTATATGTAAAGTGTTTAGTTCACCAATCTAAAATATTTTTCTTATTGACGGCATTATATATATATATATATATGTCAGAGGAGGAGACAAAAATATATAATGTATAATTATAACCGACATTTTGTTTACTTCGTAATAAAAAATAAAAGTAATAAAATTAAATATAATTTAATAAATACAAACATTATTTTAGCTTCTTTGAAGGACGTAACGCATTAAATAGAATTTACCATATTGTCATTCAGTTACTTAATATTATATATAAATAAGAACAAAATTTTATTACCTAAGCAAAACTAAATAGGAAAAATAAAACAGGACGTATATGGACGGGTATATATAAAGATTTCCTTCTTTGTACGCAGGGTGTTTATTCTTGAAGATGTTACATTGAATAAATGTTTATTTTTACTTTGTTAGAGTTAAAGGTTATTTGTACGCTGTGTTGATTTTCATGCGAGTAAGAAGCTCTTCGTAGGGGAAATAAGACACGTCTTGTCCCTACCGTAAAGGGAAAGTAAAAAAAAGAGAGATTTGGTTCTACCTGCTCCCATATTGGTTCTTATTTCCCCCAACCAATCTAAATAATAACCATTCTCAGCCCTCTGTCTTTGTCTCTCTGTTGCCATACATTTACAATCAGCAGAAGAGCACAGCTGAACCCAAATGCAGGTGGTCGACCTTACGACTATAACCCCGTGCCCCAGGTTATCAGTGCATTGGCATGAATCATAATTCTTAAAGTAATGATAGAATAAATTCCTTGTGATTTCTATCGATGTAAAATATCCATGAATATTCCATGATATCATAGATAGATAGATAGATAGATAGATAGATAGATAGATAGATAGATAGATATGTCATTTACTGGATATACGAAATTATTTATAGAAAAGGCACAGGGAGGCAAACTTATGGCGGTAGGAAAGTAACTGAAGCCGAGACACCAGAACAGGGCCAATGATATTGCGGAGTCATCTTTGGAGCTCTAGATAAATATCTCATTATCCTTATCTATCTATCTATCTATCTATCTATCTATCTATCTATCTATCTCAGTCTGTTCATATCTATCTATTTATATATCTATCTCAGTCTGTTGATTATCTATCTATCTCAGCTTCCATATCTATCTATCTCAGTCTGTTCATCACAATATATATATATATATATATATATATATATATATATATATATATATATATATATCAGTCTTCATATCTATCTACCTCAGTCTGTTCATAACAATCTATCTATCTATCTATCTATCTATCTATCTATCTATCTCAGTCTTCATATTTATCTCACTCTGTTCATATCTATCTATCTATCTATCTATCTATCTATCTATCTCAGTCTGTTCATATCTATATATTTATATATCTATCTCAGTCTGTTCATTATCTACCTATTTATCTATCTCAGTTTTCATATCTATCTATCTCAGTCTGTTCATAACAATCTATCTCGGTCTTCATATTTATCTCAGTCTGTTCATATCTATCTATCTATATATCTATCTATCTCAGTCTGTTCATATCTATCTATCTGAATTGATATATGAGAAAGAAAATAATAACATTTTATATTTTCTTGATATTTTTCTCAAATCGCAACAATAAGATAAAATCTTAAATAACTATAGATTCACAAAGAATAGAAATGAAATAAAAGATATAAATGACATAGCAAGCAGTGGGCACGACCTCTCAGCCTCCTTCGACTAATATACGGATACCTCGGAATGAACAAGTGATCGAAACTTGTAAAACGTGAAATAAAAATCTATCACTAATTTCAACCACGACTTTACTCCATTTTTTGCTTTGCCACTTTTTTTCGTTTACAACGGTAATACCGCCGTTACCCAGTAAAACCATGTCATTTTTTTAAATATTTTTCATTTTTGTTTTAATCATTTTATCCCGAACAAGGCAATAAGGACACTAAGACGCAAGGGGGTTACTGAGTGTTAGAGAATATGAAAAAATATTAAAGCAAGAGGACAATAAAAGAACAATATTTAGTGAGACAGTAGTTAATGATTGACACTGCATATAAGATTTTGGCGGTCAAAATTGACTGGGAACCAAGAATCCGGAAAAGAGTTTCAAACACGAAAGAAACCGTTAGCATAGAACTTACGATTACATCTTGATATTTTAACAATAAAATGATAAGACCTTTCTGCCAATCTAGTAATGCGCTTAAATAAATAAAATCTAGGTACCAAAGAAGACAGTTCATGTGTTGTCTCTTAAAGATTTAAATGATTACCTGTGTTAATAATTATTATTAACGTTTTCTTGTTGTTCACCTGAAAGTGTTATCGAGGATATCGTAGAATATTCACGTATATTTTACATCGATAGAAATCACAAGGAATTCATTCTATCATTACTTTAAGAATTATGATTCATCAGAAAATTCAGATAGGAAAATTCTGAACATTTCACCTGCTCAGCTAATAAATTCAAACGTTTAATTTCACTTTAAGAGTAAACCTATATATTTATTGCAGGGATTTAAGCTTTAAGACAAATAACACAATTTATGTTTTTTTGTTGTCCCCCTGTGTCAACCACGAGATGAATATCTATTACTTTCTCGTGTTTCCCGTCCATTCTTCTGACCCAAAAATGTTTAGCTAGCTGCTTGCGTCAATCAAAGCCCGGAGGTTAAATTGAAATATTTCCGGAACGTTTTTATTTCACTTCTTTCTGGTCGTAGCTCGATTCTTCTGAAAAGTAATCGACACCTGGCCGCCGACAGGTGCCATACTGGGCTTATGTAAAGCATTGTAAAGAATGGCTGCAGTTTTGAAACTTAACACTGTACCGGGGGGGGGGAAACACCCGCAAAATAAGATTGCACTCTAAATAGACAAGTAAAAAGTGGTAAAACAATCCCAACAAGAACACACGACTAATATAACCCACTTTAAATTACAACAATTAAAGCTTATCTAGTAACCAGTCAGGCAATTCAAGCACTTACAAGCTTGGTTTTGTTTATGTTTTAAATAGGTTAATATGAACCGTATAGGGGACCAAACTTTTCTAACCTTGTTAATTGGCGCTACAGAATCACGAATAAGGAACAGAAACTACATTGCACAAGAACTTTCAACAGTAGTTACAACTAAAATGGATAGCACATGAAACTCGAAGAGAAAATAATAACATAACCAAGATTTTGACATTCCAAACTACTTTGAAGTCCCCATCAGTAAGGAGCAAGAACAGTTTCTGGATTTGAAAAACCTATTATTCTGAGAAAATATTCCAATAGAGATATTTTACAAATTTCAACATTGGCTATTCAATCAATGAATGCAGAATGTTTCCTTATAAGGAAACGTCTAATATTACCATTACCATATATAATAATAATAATAATAATAATAATAATAATGATAATAATAATACCTATTGATATATATATAATATTATATAATTTAATGTATGTCAAAAAAGCTGGTCAGTAAATATCTAGAGAAAGAATATTGAATTAATCGTTCTATAAATGCCGCTTATGTAGACTAATGCAATTTTCAAATTTTAAATATTCTATACTTACAACTGCCAGTCTAGATAGGTTACAACAACAGCTGAAAAACCAAATATTATAATTTTTGAATATATATATATATATATATATATATATATATATCGTAAAAGCAACAACTCTGTTGGCATATAAGCCAAGTGGATCCTAGTAATATAAAATATTAAAAACTGATCCACAAAAAGAGCTCAATATATTTATTATGCCAGAGCAAATAATTAATAATTAATAAACAAAAAAATCCAAAGTCACTTTGTATGGGGAATAGCCTATTTCGGCAGACCAACATATCGGTTGTCTGTCTTATCAACCCCGGTGTGGACTGGGTTCTTTTCAATATATATATATATATATATGTGTGTGTGTGTGTGTGTGTGTGTGTGTGTGTGTCAGTGTAAACACGGTTATCCACTAAAAATGAAGCTTGAATAAAAATGTGAATTAAAAATATAAATGCATTACTTTTACCTCTTTCTCTCTCTCTCTCTCTCTCTCTCCTCTCTCTCTTTCTGTCAGTCTAAAGATATATATATATATATATATATATATATATATATATATATATATATATATATATATATACTAGAATGCTGACACAATTTATCCCATAAGTGCATGGGGTCTGATTTTCTAGAAATGGGGTTAAATAAAACTTTTAATCCGGCAGTACTAAGATTACCATTAAGGGAAATCAGGAAAAAAAAAAAACAGCTAAGATTTTACGGAAACTTTATGCAGTAATGGCTGAATTTGGTTAATATTATTATTATTATTATTATTGGATATGTGATAAAAATCTTCAAGAAGTGAATGTCCTTCTCGCCCGAATTGTACTAGAGTTGAAAAAATAGTCAACCCTCGGTTTTTACGGGTTTCTTCAAAATCAAAAGTGTTGACACAAACCTTTGTCCTATTGTATATATATATATATAGATATAGATATGCGTGTGTGTGTGTGTGTGTATAATCACTCGTTAAGCGACAGAAATATAAACAAATACTGAAAATTACTCTTTATCTACTTAATTAAATAAATATTCATTTGAATATTTATTTATCTCACATGAATTATATTACTGACTTCGAACAAATATCCAACTAAAATCATAACTTTTAAAAACCTATTCATATCTAATTAACTTTTTCGGTGAAAACTATTGGAGATAAACTTTCTTTACAACGTTATTTAAAAACGTTTTGGAATAAAAAAAAAATGCAACCCTGAGCAAAGGAGAAAATAATTCATTACGACGTAAATGTCTAGAGAGTGACTTAATCGCAAGGTCATCTACAGTAAATTTGTGCCCTGGGTCGTACAATATTTCACTATTCCTGCCAGATCTTCTAAGATCACAGTGTGGAATACTTACTTCCAAAAGTGATAGAAAGAAGAGAAAAAGACTCTAAATTAATTCGGCAAGATAAAAAAATAAAAAATTATAAAATTCCCAGCACCCCTTTGTTGTGCACATCTGTAGTCCTAGCAACACAAGTCCGACGAAGTCCTGAAGGACGAAACGCCTCACACACACGCATATATATATATATATATATATATATATATATATATATATATATATATATATATATATATATGTGTGTGTGTGTGAATAGATATAAAAAAATGTGTATATTTCTTTTCTTGCGTACATAAGAGTACACTATTTTAAATTTTTGTACACTTACATATATCATTTCTGTTTTATTCCAAAAGTAAAAAGTATTATTTACGCATACATATATGTGTGCGCGTGTGTGTGTGTATGTATGTGTGAGAGTGTGTGCATGCGTTTGTGTATGTGTGTGAGTTTGTGTATTTTTCTTGTGTAGGTCTCTATTTCAAAAATATTGATGTTTACTCAAACACGTGTACCCACTAAATATCACGCCTATTCTAATATATATATATATATATATATATATATATATATATATATTATGCATGTATATATGTATGTATCCAAGAGAATTAATCCTATAAATCTTAAGACGATCTCTAAATAGATCTTGTTTACTGGCGCTACAATATCACTAACGGAGAATTGTATCAAATAACAAATACCACATTGCTTTAACACATTCAACAGTTCTAGTTCTTCAGCAGATGTTTTTAGGAATTCGCACGCGTATGTTAAACAAATGTGATGTGATGTTCTAACGAGGTAAATGTCTAGAGAGTGCCTTAATCGCAAGGTCATCTACTGTAAATTTGCGCTCTGGCTATTACAACATTTCACCATTCCTGTCAGATTTTCTAATATCACAATGTGGAATACTTACTTACAAAAATGATGGAAAGAAAAATAAAATGACTCTAAATGAATTGGAATAGATAAAAATAAAAGAACCTATAATTCTCAGCATCCTCTCCTGTCGTGCACATGTGTAATGTTACCAAAATGACAAATTTAGTCCGATGAAGTCTTGAAGGATGAAACGCGTCACAAGTAAACTTTTTCCACTTTCATATACAATTTTCCCAATACTGTTTTGATATATAAAACTATATATTTTATCTCATCATATATATATATATATATATATATATATATATATATATATATATATATATATATATGAATAAAAATGACAATAGGAAAACTGGTAATTGCTGACGCGTTTCGTCCAATGTGGACTTTATCAAAGCAAAATACGAAAATGAAATTAAAATGAACAAAGTAACTAATGAAAACAAAAACAGAATGCACCTAGCAACTGGCATGTAGAGAAACGCTATTTTCGTATTTTTAACTGAAAAATAACGTCAGTAATTGTCACGTGTGGAGAATATTGTCATTATATCTGTGTTGATGTATTCAACCATTTTCTTTTGATTTTATGAATCTGTTGTGAATATTTGTTTGTAAGAGCATTAATTTTGTTAAGAAAGGTGAAATGGGGGAAAAGCCTGGGCGTAGATTAATATTTGGGTAATTTTCTATGGCGGCACTCTCCAGAATTTTCCATCTGTACATTCCAGTTGCT